TAATTACATGACCCTGCTTTAAAAATGAAACTTGAAATGTTATTTCAAAATAAAGGACTCGAAATGGACAAATGGTTGGTATTAGAACCATCAAAAAGACACAACAAAGAATTTTTTCCTGAGTCAACTAGGAAGTTCAGGCTGCCCCAGGAGCTGTTGATATAGTTCTACAGAGGAATTATTGAGTCTGTCATTTGTACTTCTATAACTGTCTGGTTTGGTACAGCAATCAAACAGGACAAGTACAGACGGCAATGGATAATTAAAACTGCAGAAAGAACAACTGCAACCAGCTGCCTTCCATAAAAGACCTGTATATTGCACAGGTCAGAAGGTGGAAGGCTGAGAAAATATCTACAGACCCAACATATATTAGCCATAAATTGTTTCAACTCGTCCTCTTGGGATGGCGCAACAGGCATTGCATACCAAAACAAAGAGACCCAGAGACAGTTTTTTCCCCTCACACCATCTATTTGCTGAACACCTATGGTAATTCTCACAGCACTGTCTAATGTCTATGTACTATATATTTACCCATGCAGTATGGATGGTAATATTATCATTTATCCTTCTTATTATCTTCTTTACAAAAAAGAAGGGATGATGATGATGATGACAACGATCATGATTTTGTTGCTTTGCATGTACACTGAGAGCTTCTACAATGGAGACAATTCCTTGTGTGTCTAATCACATTTGGTCAAATGAAGTGTTTTGTTCTAAAGTTTTCCACTGTTTCTTCTAGAGGAGCCTTAAACTACTGTCTAGGCTTTTCAGTGAGGCTTTTCTCAGCAGCTTTCAGGGAGGGGACCCTTCCCAAGGTCCCAGCATTACAGCAGCAGCAGTAGCAGCAAGAGGCCTTCAAACATGATGCCTTAAATTAGAACACATCTTGCCTTGTGCTGAATTATTGATTAAGATGGGAGAGGATGGCACACCCACACCCACACACATACACACACATGTGCATCTAGACAAGACATTGGGAAGCACTTGGCTTGATTTAAAGCTAGACCTTGAGTGGCTCTGACTTTGTGACAGTTGTTTCCTTCTCAAATTACTGAGTGAGAAAGAAATGGAAGGAAACTTTTTTTGATGAGCTCCTAAAGTTGAGTGGTGAGAGACAGGGGGAGAGAGAGAGAGAGAGCAAGGGAGGGAGAGACAGAGATTGCTGTGGGCCCCAAAGCCAAGTTTCCAATCCATGATAGATAAATGATAGCAATCAGAATGAGGGATAATTAACAAACTATTTGAAGAGGGAATAACTCTACAAAAACGTCAGTTGCAACCAGAGGCACTTTCCATCTTCAGTGTACCAAGAGAACACAGTAATAAATTAATAGAGAAGGGCAAGTGCTTCACAAATTAATAACAAGTGAATCCTAGTTCGACAGCTCTTCTTTATGTGTCTGGGAACTTGTGATGCTCGTTTTACTAATGTATAACCTGATACCAAAATGTGATATAAGTGTTAGGCATAAATCTCACAATCTATCTGACTAGAGATGAAACCCATTTCAGCCCACTATTTGAAAATATTAAAAAAGCAAAATAAAGGACAGACCAGAAACCCCAAAGCATTTTACATTGGTGAGCTTTTGTTTGTGCATGTGTGAAATAATATTAATAAGGAGTTTATTTATCTTTTTCATCCAGTGCTATGCTGCCTTATTATGGTGGGTGAGTGCGTCGAGGAGAGCAGATGTTCCTGGGAAGGATGAGTGAGGAATGCTAGGAGTTATGCCAAGGGCATACAGCTCAAACAAGGCCATCCCAGCTGAAGCAAGTAGACAGCGTATTAGACAGAAGCGATACAGAAAGATACTGGAGGCAGATGCAAAGATATCATTACATATTGTGCAGGAGAAGACAACGATAAACTACTTTTGTATTTACCCGGAAAGAACCCCACACCAATAATCAATATAAACTGATTGATGATATAGCGCTAGATGAGGGGAGCCTGAGGCTGGACGTCACTCAACACACTATTGAGGAAAAGCTGAAGACCTTTCAGAATGCTAATATTGTTTCTAACATGGCTAGATAAAAGCTTTCGGTATGTCTAGTGGCTGATTTTGCCCTGCAGGAAAAAAAAATCCAAAGCTGGAAAGACAGAATTACTGTGGGAACATAAGAGACACAAGCATGGAAAAAGTCAACGCGAGAAAAATGAAATGAACTGATTACACGTTGACATTTTTGACACCAGCAAATTAAAATGGAATGGAACTGGACCCTTTTGAACACAGGACATGAAAAACAAAGAAGGAACAGCATTGTCAGGAAGAAGACAGCAAGGATAGTCCTTGGGCACAATCAAGTCAATGACCGGATAACATCAATTGAACTTTTCTGGCAAGCCTTTAATATATCAATTATCCAAGTTTATGCCCTAACCAGTGATGCAGAAGAGGAGGTTGATGGTCAAGTTCAATCTGAAGCCGATAGAACATGCAAGCCAAATATGTTGGTTTACTGTATAGCCTAGGAAACCGAAATGAGGTAGAAAGAAAAAATGACATCACTTTCTGCCACTCCAATTATTTCCTTATTTGTAAGATAGTCTTCCGACAACTAAATAGCATCAATATGCATGAACTTCACCAGACAGAATAAAACAGAAGTCAAACAGATAATATTGGTAGAAGAAGGTGGAAAAGCTCATTTGCAGCAGCAAAGACATTGTCAAGGGGCTGAGTTGTGGAACAGATCACAAACTGTTCATGTGCAAACTCCAAATCAAGCTAAAACTACAGAACAAAGCCAACACAGTGGCCTACAAATTGGAAGCTGTCAGTCTTTGTAACAATACCAAAGACGGGAGACTTGACAGAATGTGCAAACTATTGTACAATACCCATATTCTCACTTACTAGCAGAATAAGGTTAAAGATTATTTAACACAGATTAAAAAAACTCTGAGGAACAAAACACATGATTACTGATGTATGTTGAGATAAAAAAAGCCAAGGAATAGCAAAATATAAAAATAACTGTGCTTCATTGATTACAGAAAGGGTTTAAGTGTGCAACCCTGTCAAGCTGTTGTATGTACTTATGAAAATGGGAACCCCAGAACATCTCATTATCCTCATGGGAAATTTTTACACAGGCCTGGATGTGATAGGCCGAATATGGTGAAATAGACTGGCTCTAGGTTGGCAAAGGAGGAGGGAAAAACTGTATACTCCAACCTTATGTATTCAACATATAAGTAGAATATATAGGGTATACCAAAATTCATGACTGATAGGCAATTTGTTAGATAAATTACATTAAATGTTGAAACTGGTTCCTATTTACTTCTAAACACTTATCTTACTCATTTGATACATGAATTTTGAATGTCCACGAGTACAGTAACATTTTCCCTGAAAATATTAATTAATAAACCGTACTGTGATAGCTCTAACTTTTAATACATCTTTTAATATATCAAGGAATCTCGATTGGAAGAAAGTGATCATGGTTTAGAACTGGAGGAAGAAACTTCCACTATGATGATGAAAGGGCTCTGATGGCTAAAACTGAAAATTTGCAAGTTCTTGTGTAATGAATGTCCAGGAGTACAATGAAAGGAGGAGATTAAGTCCAAATATATAAAAAAGCCAAACTAGTGGTAAAAGATACAGCAACTAGCTTTAGAACTGATATGGACAATACCAAAATGGTGAATAGCTTCTGTCTTTTAGGATCGACTCTCAACAATGAAGGAACCAGCAGTCAACATAGCATCATAGACAAAAAGATTTCTGAGATTATCATGGATAGCTAAGAAAATGAACAAATGAAACAGAGAACAAATCTATTCAGAGTCCTCACACAATGTACAAATAGCCAGATTAAAATCATCACATTTTAACATCTTATGCAAAGACGTCTCCTGAAAAAGGTGAAAAGAAAGAGAATGACCAACAGCAATCAGTGCATCCTAGGAAGATTTGAAGGATGAGGGGTTGGGACAGAAAACCTTTTTATGGAGAAATGTATATGAAGAAAATCTACATGATAAGAACAGACAGAGATTTGATAGTGCATAACCAGGTGGGATTTCTGGTGTGCTGAACTTGTGTGCAATTTGTTTTAGTCTTAAATTACTAATGCAGGATACCTTCTGCAAACCAATTTAGTTAAAGGCATCTTTTGTTCTTTGTAAAAAAGATCCTTGGTGACATGGAAGCACATGGGGATAAGAGGAGGAATGCAAATTCTCTTTGAAAGTAAGTTATTTGATTATGAAATATTAATTATGTCTACCCCACCAGTAAAAAACAGACTGGACATCAAAGCTCATGTATGTCTGAGAAACTGAAACTATATCCATTTAAAAGATTAAGCTGCTTGTGGAAAATCCAAGTGGTTTATATCCATCTTCTTCAAGGGTTTCTTTTTTTCCCCTCTCTCTCTAGGACTCTTGTTTTCAAATCAGTATTAAGAAAGCTGAATCTAGAGATAAGGAGCCAGCTTTCATAAGTAAATAAAGTGGCTTAATAAACTTGGTGTCAAAATTACTTTCCTTGATTGCTTCAAGCGATATAAGGAGAACTATGTAGACTGAGTGATTCTTGATTAACAGTTTGTACACAGAACAGGAAATTCTTTTTAGCTTCTGAGATAGGCAAAATTAATCTTGCTGAATAAGGTCTCAATGTAGCTTGCCTGAAGAAATCCTTCTCATTTTGGCTTTCACAATTCATACAAGTCCAACCCACTCGTTTAATTGTCTCCTTTTGTCACTGTTAGCATTCCAGACTATGACAAAAACCTTATCTATTTTGCATTATTCTGAAAATGATCTTTGTATGGAAGAAACAGCATGGAATTGCTTTTCCACCAATCTTGTTAGATGCTATGTAAGAAGATAAATTGATTAAAAACCCAGGATGATCCTGTGAGCAAATCTAAAGTTGCAGATAATACAGGTCCCAAGGGGGTAAATGACAAGCAGCTACAGGGATGTTCACTGCAGAAAACCCTGACAATCTCTGACATACCTGTATTCCAGTGAGAACTTGGTTAACTCTCTGTTGTCATGCAGCCATTTGAATTCCAGGGGCCAACTCCCTTCTGCCATGCAGGTGAGCACCAAACGATTTCCCTCTAGATGGACTTGAGTGCGCACTGGCTCTGTCTTGAAATATGGGGAAACGTCATCTGAAATCACAAAAGAAAGTGTGTCAAAACCTGTGCATTCTTCCATTCTTAAATTACAAGGTACATTGGAGCTTCAATATTGGAGCAGACAAGCAGCTTGTCCATCTAACATGTCGGTCTATGGAGGAAAAGATATATGCTAATTCTGAAAATGTCTGTCCTTTATTATGCATAAATATCCTTCCTGTCACTTGTTTTGCTACAGTGAGAAATCTAGAAATCAAGATTATGTATCTCTGGATCAGCTTGTTTAAAAACATACATCACTTTCAAAGAGTTATACATTAATAGTAGATACGCTGTTGTCCCAAGGACACCACTATTTGATTTCAGAGCCATATTCAGTGTAATATATGTACAGCATCATCTTTAAAGCAGTACAGGGAACAGGGCCTGGTTATTTGTGGGACTGCTTCTCCCTGAGGGTATTTGTTTGTCGCAGCAGATCGGCTAGGTTGGAGAGTGTGTTCCAAGTCCTTTCCATCAAAGGTGTCATTTACTGGGATCTAGGAAGCACACCTTTTTGATAGCAGCTCTTGCCCATTGGAACAGCCTTCCCCCTGGAATCCAGCAGACCCCCCCACCCTTTTTTGCCCTCTGGAAGGTAATAAAAAGCTGGTTCTTCCCTGAAATATGGGGAATAGGGTGAAGTTGGAGTCTTGGGGGTTATACTTGACATTGTAGGAGTGCAATGGCTTGTGAGGTTAGAACGCTGGACTGACAATTGGCAGCCTTACTTTCGAGACCTATTGCTGCCACGGGGTGGGGCGAGCTCCCATCACATGCTGCACCTCCACCAATGCAGCAATTCGAAAGCGGGTGATCGTAAGCAGATAAAATGGGTACTTCAGTGAGCAACTTTGGAGGGCCGCAAAGGGAGCCTCCAACTGGGCAATGGTGATGACACTGGCAAATCTTTTCACCTCAGAAGCCCTTTGGTGTTTCCAACATGGAAGTATTAGTATTATTTGATGTACAGGAACATGTTGGTTAAGGCATCAGGTTCTGGTTGTAATGGGTGTGTTGTTGTTGTGGTTGTTGTTGTTGTTATTATTATTATTATTATTATGCATCCAGAGTTGTGACATACAGATAGTCCATGCTTTGTGACGCTTGAAGTTACAATGGGCTGAAAAAATATCTTTATGACCAGCACTCCCATTTGTGACCATTGTAGTGGTGATCTGACTGAGATTTGGGCACTTCACAGCTTCTGGGCATTTATGACGGTGACAATTATCTCACAGTCACATCATTGCTATTTGTGTGCTTTAAAGCTGGCTTCTGACACGCAGTGTTAATGGAGAAGCTGGCAATAAAATTGCAAGACCATGTCACATGATGACATGTTTAATGACCACAGGTGGTTCATTTAATGATCACAGCAGAAATGATGTCATAAGTCCAGCACAGTAATGTGATTTTTTTTTCTTAATGGTAGTGTCACTTAGCGATGGAGTTGATAGACCCGATTAAAATAATTAAGCAAGGACTACCTGTATATGATAGTCATAAAAATAAATGAATGCAATGCAATAATAAAATGTAAAGCAATTGCTACAACTAAACTCCACCATCATTTATATACCAAAATGTTTTCAGGATTAAAAGGAGATATTATAGGATTTTCAATGGACGAATCACCTAACATGGCTAGACTTGGAACAAAATGTTACCATACATGTTGTTCACCTTTTGTAAATAAGATATTTGCTAGCTCTAAAATTGGTAACAAGTAATTGTGTGTGTGTGTTTGTGTGCATGTGTGTATGTATCTTTGTAGGTAGTAGCACACATACATACATAAACATGCCCCAAAATTGGTATCAGCTGTGAGAAATGGAGGTTATTGCTTTCCCTCTATTTTCTTGATGAAAATTATCCCACCCCTGAAGCTGTTTCTTTGCTCTACGGGGTAAAATATATAGGAACCAGTAGGACACCTGAAGGTTTTGCCTTGAGGGAGAAATAACAGTTTTGGGGATAGGGTTATTTTAATTGTAAAAGCAGTATGGGAGAAAGGGTAATGCTGTCCTCCTGGGTGACAGTTTTAGTCTGAATTGGGGAAGGGGGCTGTGTCTGCTATTAACTTTTAAAAACACACACAGAGAAGTTTTCCCAGAGAAAGGAAGGTTATGTATTTTCTCACAGATGATTCCAGGCAAAAATCATGGGAGAACCAGAAGGAACAAAGTAGATTACAAGGGAGTGGGGTTTACTTTATAATCTTCTGAAAAAAAAAAAAGATTTAAAGCAAAACACATCATCTCTATTTTGTATTAATGGCCCTACAGTTTAACTCTCTAGATATCTCCATGTATTGTCACTAACAATGGGAAAATATATTTAGGTGAAAATTATGGATTTGTCTTCTAGGTCCACTCATAATTCATCTCAAATCATGTTGAGATAATAGGCAAGGTAACATGTAGTTTTGCTATGAGGCAAGTCATTCAGATTTTCTGTTATTTGTTTCTACTTGTTTTAATCTTCTGTAAGCCTCTGAGAGATATTGGTGAGTGGGTAGCCCTAGAAATTGAATGAGGAAACAGCAACAAGAACACACAGTTAAGGATTGTAGTGCTTCTGAAGCAAAAAGCAAAGCTATCTACTTTAATCTAAAAGAAAAAGACCAACAGGGAGTAACTTTATTTTATTGAGGTAATAAAAAATGTAAACAAGAAGAAAGTTAGCTTCTGAATTCTAGAGAATTACAGAGTTGCTCTTCAAGTACCTCAACTCAGCAAAGGGCAGGGAATGAGGGTGAAGTAAATCTTTATATATTGCCAAAGATTCATAGGATCACAGTGAATGCAGTCCATAAATTAATTGTCAAATTGCACTGGGTTGAACAGCAATGTTGAGCATGAATCAAGTATGAAAAAGCAAGGACTTCAGTCTGGCAACCAAATGCAGATTAGTCCTACTATTATTTTTCATATAGCTACCTACAATTGCAAAAGTTGGACCATGAAAAACTAGGCAGGAGTAAAATCAACTTGTTAGACCTGCAGTTTTGAAGAAGGCTCTTGAGCATTCCTTGGACAGCAAAGGTGACAAGCAAACAAGTAGTGAAGCATATAAAACCAGACATATCACAAAAAGGCAAAAATCACAAAATTCTACCTTACTTAGTTTGGCCATATCACACATCAAAGTGTACTTGGAATGCTCAGCAGTAAAAAGAAGCAAGGCCACCAAAAACTAGAATGGCTACACCCCATCAAAGCCAATACCAGACAGAGCATAAAACAACTGAAAGGAGCCATACAAGACTGGAAAATGTGCAGAGAACTGGTCCATAGAATTACAGA